TCTGGTTGGTTGGCTGACTGGTTGGTTGGCTGGTTGGTTGGGAGGCTGGTTGGTTGGTTGGCAGGTTGGTTGGTTGGCTGGTTGTGGGGTGGAAGCCCCAGTGAAGTCTCCAAGCCCGAACCTTGTGCTTTGTTCCCCGTCCTTCATCCCCTGCCCACTCATCTCCCTCGTCTTCCTCTCCATTCCCCCCCCAGCTCCACTTGGGTCCCCAATCCAAGATTTCCCGGCCCTTCCCCCAATCCCCCCAGGATCTCAGGGGTCACCTCAATGACCCCCCAACCCCCTGCTCTGCCCCCCTTCCCCTGCAGGTGAACGCCCTGGACGGCTACAACCGCACGGCCCTGCACTACGCGGCCGAGAAGGACGAGACCTGCGTGGAGATCCTGCTGGAATATGGGGCCAATCCCAACGCCCTGGATGGGAACAAGGACACCCCCCTGCACTGGGCGGCCTTCAAGAACAACGCTGAGTGTGTCAGGTCCCTGCTGGAGAACGGGGCCTGGGTCAACGCCCGGGACTACAACAACGACACCCCCCTGAGCTGGGCGGCCATGAAAGGGAACCTGGAGAGCGTCAGTGTCCTCCTGGACTTCGGGGCTGAGGTCAGGGTGGTCAACCTGAAGGGTCAAAGTCCCATCTCACGTTTGGTGGCCTTGCTGGTGCGGGGCCTGGGGACGGAGCGGGAGGATTCCTGCTTCGACCTCCTCCATCGAGCCATCGGACACTTGGAGCTGAGGAAGAACGGGAACCTGCCCTGGGAGGTGAGGAGGGACCAGCAGCTCTGCCAGAAGCTCACCCAGCTCTGCTCAGCCCCGGGCTCCCTGCAGACCCTCTCCAGATACGTCGTGAGGCGCAGCCTGGGCGTGCGGTTCCTGCCCGAGGCCGTGGAGCAGCTGCCCCTGCCCACCTCCCTCAAGGAGTACATCCTGCTCCTCAGCTGAGCCACCAGCGTGGGAGCTCTTCCCAGTCCAGCTGCTGGGCTGGGAGGGTGGACACTGGGTTTGGGACCTGTGGGTGTTGGGATTCTTGGTCATCATTCCCAGGGACCTGCAGGTGCTGGAATCCTGGTCATCACTCCCAGGGACCTGCAGGTGTTGAGACTCCTGGTCATCATTCCCAGGGACCTGCAGGTGCTGGAATCCTGGTCACCATTCCCAGGGACCTGCAGGTGCTGGAATCCTGGTCACCATTCCCAGGGACCTGCAGGTGTTGAGAATCCGGGTCACCATTCCCAGGGACCTGCAGGTGTTGAGAATCCTGGTCACCATTCCCAGGGACCTGCAGGTGTTGGGACTCCTGGTCACCATTCCCAGATTTCCTCCTGCTCTGCCCCATCTCCAGGTGGTGGGATCCACTCCCAGCTGGCTCCATGTCACCCTTCCACCCACAGCTTCTGCTCCGTGGCTGCTGTTCAAGCTCAGATGAAGGATCCTCCTTTAATCCCAATTATATCCCAGCTCTTGGATTCACCTGCTTTTTCCTGGTTTTCCTTGGGGAAGGGAAGGCTTTTGGAGCAGGGAAACCCACCTTCTGGGGAGGACTCGAGGCAGGAAAGGAAGAGAAGGTGGTGGTGGATCTGGAGAGTCCCTTAGGAGGTGGGGGATGGAACATGGGACATCCCTTCAGCACCTGGAGCTGGGGGTGGTTTCCCCATGATCCAGCACCTTTAAGCTGTGGAAGGTGGTGAGAGCAGGATTGTGGTTGGTGGGATGGAACTTGGGGGGGATTCCTGGAAAGGAACATGCTGGAAGGTGGGTGGGACCCCTCTGGGAGGTCCTCCCTGATTGGGAGGTCCTCAGGGTGGGGTTTTGGGGGTGATTTTGTTCCTCTGGTTGGTTTTGGCACCACTTGGAGCCTCAGGACCATCATGTTCCCCTCAACCCGTGGTGATACCTCATTAAGTCCTCACGTTGATGAGGTTTTGAGCCTCCAAGCACAGCTTGTCCCCTCCCTGCTCCCAGCCCACCCCTCCTCCAGCCTTGAGTGGGGGTTTTTTTAGGATCTGGGAGATGATGTTGGGTGGATGAACCTTCAATCGTTGTGTTGTGGGTGAAAACTGAGGGAGAAAAGTCACCTCAGGGTCTTGGTGAAGGGTGAAGGTGAGGTTGGGGCCTGTGGTGACCCAGGGGTCAGGGCTGGGTCTGGTTGGGTTCAACATCTTCATCAATGACCCAAAGGAGGGGACAGTGTCCCCTCAGCAGGTTCACTGGTGACACCCCTGAGGGCTGAGCTGCCACCCTGGGTGACCTGGGCAGGATGGAGGGTTGGGGAGTGAGGAACCTCCTGAGGTTCCCCAGGGGCCAGAGGAAGGTCCTGCAGCTGGGGAGGAACATGGAGCAGCACAGGGTGGGGAGCAGCTCTGGGGACAAGGACCTGGGGGTCCTGGTGGCCAACAGGGTGACCATGAGGCAGCAATGGGCCCTGGTGGCCAAGGAGGCCTGTGGACTCCTGGGGGGCATCGGGAAGAGTGTGGGCAGCAGGTCAGGGAGGTTCTCCTGCCCCTCTGCTCTGCCCTGGGGGGGCATCTATGGAGAACTGGGCCCAGGTCTGGGCTGCCCAGGTCAGGAAGGACAAGGAGCTGCTGGGGAGGGAACAGCAAAGAGCCAGGGAGATGGGGAGGGGGTGAGAACATCCCTGTGGTGAGGAAAGGCTGAGGGACCTGGGGCAGTTCAGCTGCAGAGGAGCAGAATGAGGGGGGGTCTCCTCGGGACCTCCAGGGGGTCAGGAGGGTGGGACCAGGCTCTTCTCAGCAGTGCCCAGGGACAAGGGGCAGTGGGACAACCTGGAGCACGGGAGGTTCCAGCTGAGCATGAGCAGGAACCTGTTGCTGTGAGGGTGGCAGAGCCCTGGGCCAGGCTGCCCAGAGAGGTGGTGGATTCTCCTTCTCTGGAGCCATCCCAGCCCCAGCTGGATCCTGGGGGACCTGCTGGAGGTGCCCCTGCTGTGCTGGGGGTGGCACTGGGGGGGCTCCAGAGCTCCCTCCCAACCCCACCCCTGGAATTATTTTCCTGTTCCTCCTGCTGTGCTGGGACCTGGAGCAGCAGGTGGTGGAATCCAGGTTCTCCTTCCTGGGAAGGGATGGAACACAATCTATGTCCCCCTCCATGAGGGAGTTACGAGTTTATTGAAGCATCTTAATTCTGCATTTTTCACCCTAAAATGAGGTCCTGGTGCCTCCTTCCCAACCCCTTGTCCTCAGCTCATGGCAACAACCAACCTCAACGCTGGAGGAACCACTTATTGTGCTTCAAAAGCTCCTAAAATACCTAAACCAACCCCAAAATGTCCCCTGAGGAAACTCGGGAGCTTCCCAGGGGGTCTGAGCTACAACTGGGACCTCCTGTTCTGGAGGTGAAGGACACACCAAGGGTTGGGGGTGAAGCCTCTTAGATGTTGGACTCCAGGGGGACCCCCTTGCGTGTGATGTGCTCCAGATGGGCCTTCTCTGAGGTGTCCAACTCGATGTTGTACTTGGCCAGGATTTTGAGGATGGGCCGAAGCTTCAGCCACCACTGCTCCTTGGGGATGCGGTGCCTGGGTGGGAGAGAGGGGGTGGGGTCATGGGTCTGGAGGGAAATGGGGCTTGGGAACCTTCCCAACGTGGAAAAGGAGCTGTGGGTGTTGGGTGAGAAGGGTTGAGCATGAGGCAAGGAGAGAAGGGGCTGGAGAACGAGGAGAAGAGGCTGGAGGACCAGGAGGAGAAGGGGCTGGAGGACTTGTGAGGAAAAGTTGAGGGAGCTGGGGGTGTCCAGCCTGGGGAGGGTCTGGAGAACAAGGAAGAGAAGGTCTGGAGGACAAGGGGGAGAAAGGGTTGGAGTACAAGGAGAAGGGTCTGGAGAAGTTGTGAGGAGCAGCTGAGGGAGCTGGGGGTGTCCAGCCTGGAGCAAAGGAGCTGAGGGGAGACCTTCTGGCTCTGCAGCTGCTGAGAGGAGGTTGGAGCCAGGGGGGTCGGGCTCTGCTCCCCAGGAACAAGGGATGGGACCAGAGGAACCGGCCTCGAGTTGCCCAGGGGAGGTTGAGGTTGGATCTGGGGAACAATTCCTGCCTGGCAAGGGGTGTCAGGGCCTGGCCCAGGCTGCCCAGGGTCCCCAGCCCTGGAGGGGCTTCCAAGGGCTGGAGATGGTGCTGAGGGACGTGGGGCAGGGGGGGCCTTGGCAGGGCTGGGTTGATGGGTGGGCTCCATGACCCTCAAGGTCCTTCCCAACCCAAATGATGCCATGAGAGGTGAAGAGTTGGGTTCAGGGTGGTGATGTGGGGCAGGGGGGGCCTTGGCAGGGCTGGGTGGGCTCCTTGGATCCTGAAGGTCTTTTCCAAGCAGGACAGTGCTGGGGTGGCTGGAGCTGGGGCAGAGTGAGGGGCTTGGGGGGCACCTACTCAAAGTCCGTCTGCTCCTTCAGCTCCAGGATGGGCTGGAAGACCAGGCTGCGCTTGCGCATGCCCAGCAGACACGCTGAGTCGGGGGTGTTGGCGAAGATCCGACCTGCCGGGGGGGACACAGAGCAGGTTCAGCCTTTTGGAGGCTCCAGGAAGGGGGGGAGCACCCAGCAGCACCCCAAAAATCTGCAGCTGAGCCCTTGGACTTGAGCTATGGGAGCATGGATGTTGGGTTGGGAGAGGAGCTGGAGGGTGATCCCAGTGGAGAGAGGCCAGAGGAGGCCCCGGAGATGCTGGGAGGGCTGGAGCAGCTCTGCAGCCCGGCTGGGGGCGGTT